CATGTCAGTGGCGGGGAGCACAAGGGCAGGCACTGACCTCCAACAAAACGAAGAAGTAATTTTATCGGAATACAAGATTTTTTTCTTTTGAAATCCGAATAGAAAGGGTACCGGTTGTATTCGAATACAACGTGTACATTTTCGATTCGAGGAACTCTGCTATTCGAGAAAAGTGGACCCGCACCGTTTCAATTTCGAAAAAGGACTTTACTAGTAGTCCGTGTGACAGTGTGGGACTGTTAGGAACTGTCGCATTTTCAACGGACGGTGGGATTATGCATCCCGCCATTTACGGCTCCCTTTTGTCATTGGTTCTTAGTTGCTTTGGGGTCCCGTGTGGAATGGAGGGAGAGGGAATACGGTGTAGAATACTAACCTCATTTTTTTGGCGTAGAATACTATTCGTTTTTGCCTCCTCGCCTACAGCAGCCGGCTTCTGAAGAGGAAGGCCCACCGATAAGTGGTATGTTACCTCATACTGAGAAAGCACGGACCTGGTCACCATTGCTGCCGAATTCATTCTTTTCAGGCACAAACATAGCAGCAATGGACTCTGCCCCTGAGTCGTTCGCACAGTATATTGGTTGGTATTGATCTTACAGTCGTGACGCTGCTTCTGACGAGGAAGGTCCTCTGGTAAGTGCTATATTACGTCAGTTGTGGTGGCAGAGCAAGGCTGTAGGTCTCGTTTCATCTTCACCTGAGGCTATAAGGGGGGGGGGGGAAGTAAAAAAAGTGGGCGTTTTCGTTTTTTGGTTTTCTGTGGGCCTTCGTCCTCTGGCTGCGCCTAGCACCCAAAGGAGGTCCGTCCAATAAAGGGTCTGGCTCCACTACTATCAAAATGTGTAAAACGAGAGTGAATCTTCTGCTAGAACACGGAAAGATACACCGCTACAATTTTTTGTTTTTTGTGCGTGTCGAGAGTAGTGAAGCGACGCCCAACTGCACACAAAGGGCCTCGCCCCACGAACGCGGATGTGCAAAAAGGCGAAAATCGTAGTCCGTTTCCCAGAAAAATAAAAAAATAAAAAATTGTGGAGGTGTATCTGTCCATGTTCTGCACTATATGTACGATGGTTTTGCACACAGAGGAGAGTAGTGGACCTAGACCCAGGCGGCAAATGCACATGCTGAATCACGTTCGTTTCCCGCCTTCGACTGTCACACTGACTAATAAACTATACTATTCGTTGGCATGTGGGCATTAACTGACCGTGGAAGAGACAGAGAGAGACAGTTTCATGTGTGCATTAACTGATCAGCCTGCCAATGTGAAAAATGAGAAGGAACCTTCCGCCAAAACATTAAAAAAAGAGATTTTAGCGTGAGTATGGACTAAGAGTTATCAAATGCAACCACTTCCTGTTTCTCCTTGCAATCCTTCTCCCACTCCTTCTCCCACCCCACCTCCCGCTCCTTCTCCTGCTCCTCCCACTCCTCCAAAGAACGTGATTAAGATCTCGCCATAGCCCCGCTCCCACTCCTCCCGCTCCTCCTCCCTCTCCTGCTCCCTCTCCTTTTCCCGCTCCCCCTCTTGATCCTTCTCCGTCTCCTCCTTCTCCAACTGCTTCTTCTGCTCTTGCCCCCGTTCCTCCTCTCCCTCATTCTCCCACTCCTTCTCCCACTCCTTCTCCCACTCCTCTTCTCGCGCCATAGCCCCGCTCCCGCTCCTTCCCCGCTCCTTCCCCACTCCTTCCCCGCTCCTTCCCCATTCCTTCTCACACTCCTCCGACCGCTCTTTCTCCCACTTCTCGCACTCCTCCTCCTCCTCCCCCGCTCGCTCCACCTCCGCCAAACAACGTGAGAAAGATCCCGCCATAATCCCGCTCCCGCTCCTTTCCTGCTCCTCCTCCCTCTCCTCCTTCTCCTGATCTTCCCCCCGTTCCTCCTCCCCCTCCTTCTCCCGCTCCTCTTCCCGCGCCATATCCCCGCTCTGGCTCCTTTCCAGCTCCTCCCACTCCTCCTCTCCTGCTCCTTCTTCCGCTCCTCCTTTTCCTCCTCTTTCTTTTCCACCTCCTTGCAGCTTCATCATCTCGCAGCTTCATCATCTCGCACCTTCTCTTCCTCCTTCTCATCTTCGTCCTCCTTGTTACTGCTCTCACTTGTGTGACAAGTGGTGCACCCAGGCATTTCTTTTCCGTTTTTCTTGTCGTTGTGTTATTATCCTCCTTCCCTCTTTCTGGTCGTGTCCTTGATCTTATCCCGATACCTGGTTTCCCATCTCTTTCTGTTCCCGCTTTTCCCGATCTCGACCTCCCTCTATCTCGATCCTGCTCCCCGGTCTAACACCTCTTTCTCCTCCCACCTTCCTCAATCCTGACCTTCCTTTATCCCAATCCCTTTTCTTGCTCGCCTCGATGTTTGCTTCGATGCCACTTCCCTCTAACCCGGCTTCGATCCTCCCATCTTCACCGATCCCAATGTCGTACCAAATACCCTTACAAGGGTATTTGGCGTGTTTTCTGCAAGTCAGGCGAGTGCAGTGTCGCCCGCCTGATGGCGTGCGCGTGAGCGGAAGCGTAGGTCCTTGTCAGGGTGAGGGGCGCGCGTAGTGACGTGGGGTATTGACGGTGAGACGCAATTGTGCGCTGCCTAGGCGTGCGCGGCGTCAGGGGCCGGCGGGACGCACGACGTTTTGGTTGTATTTTATATTAAGTAATTGGGGTATTAAATTCTTGTAAGCTCCGGCATTTTTTGTAATTCGGACGTGACGCCGGACTCAATGGTCGTCACGGCAGTCAAGGACCCTAAACGCACGGTGCTTTGGAGGGATGGTGGGTATTTTGACCCACGGCAAGGGAGGAAATATCAGCGGCGGGGCCTTTGGCGGGTGTACTGGCCACCCCCGTGGTTTGCTGTGAGAGGTTTGAGTGTAAGCGGGCCATTGGGACCCGCGAGCTGGCGGACTATGCCCGGGGCGCTATAGCAAGGTCCACCGCGGTACTACGGCATGTTGCAGACCGTATGGAACCGAGCCATGGGCCGGCGGTAGGCCCGCGCCCTCAACTGTAGGACGGCCTGTGGGGGGGTTGCTCGTTGGGGACCCGAAAGGGTGACCAGCGTTGTTAGAGTGGGAGCCGACAAGGGGGGTGGGCTCCTTGTAAAGATGCGCACCAACAGTTGTCGAATAGTCCGCCTGACGGACTGGGGCATTGGGGCGGAAGACTGACCGGAATCATCCTGTAGCTGGGCTGGCCGGGGTTTTCCCTCAGGGTTAGTTGAGGTAGAAAGGGAGGCCCCGCTGGGAAGGTACAAGCAGACCAGTGAGTTTTAGAAGTATAAATTGAGGGGCAGCGCCCAGCTGCTCATTCACTCCTACGGGAGCCGTGCGGAAGCGCTGCCACAGCGGCTCACGCCAGGGGGGGGCCTGCCGTAAGCCGGAGGACGGAGTAGTGGAAAGGGGCGGATGAACCTGGGCGCGGGGTCCCGCCAGGTACGTTCGGAACAAGGAGGAGGTGATGAGGACGAAGGCAGCCAGAGGCGACGGGGAGTAGCTGGCCGGGCAGCACAGCCCCGAGCAGCAGTAGAATGGCGGGGGTGAAGTGAAGCAAACCGATCGGAGGAAGGCCGGGCGATAGGAGGAAGAAGGACGAACGCAGACGGACTTCGGCACCGGGTGTGCGCAGAGGGAGAAGGAAGAATGCAACTGCGGGAGAGCAGCAGGCAGGTAGCGTGCCGGGTAGCGCTGCGTGGTGGGGACGGAGTGATGGCACAGTGGAAAAGCGGGGGCTAAACCAGGGCGCGTTATCGCGCCAGATGCATGCGATAGTGAAGAAGGCGGGATGCAAAAACGGGCGTGATCCGGTAGGGACGAACGAAGAGTGAAGGGGAGCTAGCGAGAGGAACGAGGTGGGGGCGTAGTAAAGTGGGGGATGCATCTGGAAGCATTTCGCGTCAGATTCATTCGCCAATCTTGATGGCGAAACCGTGGACATGTCGGGCTAGAGAGTTTCCTAGTTCGCTCGATTCTTCATGAAATCGAGCGAACCAAAACCCAATTCCGGGGTTTTGAGAGGCGCCAACCAAGAATCCACGGTGAGTTTGGGGTGAAAGTTAGTATAGGAAAAGTTATCAAGAAAACGAGCTGTGCGGAGGTATCGGGACTGGCGGATATGGCGGGAATGGGAAGTGGAGAATTCACTCGATTCTTTATGGAATCGGGTGGAATAAAGTGATAGGTAGGGGTTTTCTGTTCTTGCGGATTTTATGGTAGTGTAAGTTTTAGTTGTAGGTTAGTAGTTTGGTCGGGGTTAGTATTATAGGCTGCGCCTGGGAGAGGTTGTATACAGGCGGTGTATACTTCCACGTTGTAGTGGAAGATTCATGAATGAAAGTTTGAGGGATTGAACGGAAGGCGAGCCTAGTAACTATGGCGGATTCTATTACTTGGACGATCGGAGAAACTAGCGGTATGAGTCGAGGGGATGGTGGCCTGGCTCGACACATAGAGGAAGCGGATGTATTTGGCCGTGTTTTTGGTGAAAGATTCATTTGATGTTGCCCATCCTAGCAATGGGAATGGTGTGAAGCCAGCCACGAATTGGAGATTTAACTATCGAGTGGAGTCGTTATGGCCTGCACTGTCGGAATTAGAGGTGGGAGCCTAAGTGAGCCATCTGGTAGTAGGCCCCTTTCGAAGTCTCCCTCAGAGTTGCTGGTGCTGCCTACCAAACTCCCCATGTGATGGTGTTCTCGACACGGTGGTGGCAATCCCCTGAGTTCGATATGGGTCGGCACTGCCCGGGTAGACCCGAGCGCACGGGTACCCGCACACAGAGAGCGAAGTCACCTACCGGGGCAGAGAAGAGAGCAGGACAGGGGCGCCGCCACCCAGCGAGCCTAGCATACTGCCTGAT